AAACCGTAACAGGCTTGAGTTTGGATGTGGGTGTGCTGGAATGAGAATCACAGATTGCAGGTCAACACCCTGTAAGAACCTTAATCTCCCTCGTAGAAAACAAAGGCAGCATGCATTTTGCACAGCAGGCAAGTCTCTGGACAGGCAGAGTCAGAAACAGCAGTGCCCAGCTCAGAGATGGCAGCCAGCTGTGCTAATTCAGATCTATTTCCCTCTCATAGCCCTGGCATGAATGCAGTCGCCCATTTCAGGCCCCCAAAAGGGCTCACACCTCTTCTAAATCTTCCATTCTAGGACCTCAGCTTGGGATCTTTCCTACGCTGGTCACCATCCTGTGTTACCCACAGTTGACGAATTCAGGTCCTTGTTGATTTCACTGCATTAGCCAGGACTGAACAAATCCATTCGAACCAGGCCACAGTCCTGACAGGGACACCTTCAGTTTTATAGAGAGAATGAAACAAGCATTTCCTGAAATGACATGTGCCCTGCCCGTGTGCAGCACACGCTGCTCTAGCCCTTAGCCACTTTTAAACGGATTCATTACTCACGAATCAGTACTTCCCTTCACTAAATCTCCTTGCTTTCGTAAGAAACAGCGTCTGCTCAGGAGGCAGCTGGCACCCTGGGTGGTGGTGTGGATGGTTGAGACGGGTCTGACCACTATGCTGACAGTGTCTCCCCCACCGTCCCTCTTCCTCCTCTGGCCTGTCAGATGGAGAAGTGCCCGGCAGTGCGGTGCTGGTGTTTGACATTGAGCTGCTGGAGCTGGTGGCGGGCCTGCCTGACGGGTACATGTTCATCTGGAACGACGAGGTGTCGCCCAACCTCTTTGAAGAAATTGACAAGGACGGCAACGGAGAAGTCCTCCTCGAAGAGGTAATTGGCCTGTGAAGGAAAGTGGGACTGAAAGAGCCCAGGGAGCCTCCCCCCCACATTGAGTCAGGGTGCCTCCAGGGAGCCTCCCCCCCATATTGAGTCAGGGTGCCTGTTCGGAGAACGAGGAAGGCAGCTGTCCCGAATTGTGACAGTGACAAACAGCACTGTAGCGCTGAGCCTCTGACAGGTATAGGGATTAGACTCAGTTCCCAGGTACTGGTGCGCACTGGGTGCCTGCACTGAGCTAAGGCTTGGCCCAGGTAGTATCTTGTTCAGCCCGCCCAACTATAGATCACCTCTCTTTCAAAAGAAGAAGCTGCACAGGGAATGGCACAGAACTACCCTGCGGTATGAGCCAGCATCCACCGCCTTGCTCACCTAGATCCACGAAGTTTCCTGTGCACCACATGCCACTTCACGGCATTGGGCAGGAGAGCATTTTGTCCAGACACAGCCCTGGGGACTTGCAGCCTCTGCTCATTCAGGGACATCGCTCCAGCCTTCTTTCCTTCCTCTCCTTCATTGTTTCCTCCCATCTGACATGCTATTATTTCTCCTTCTCTTAATGCTTCTCTACCCAGTTCTTAACGCTTCTTAGCTCCTGTTACCGCAAGTCTCAGAATCATCTGTCCTCTTGGCTTCCAATTGCTCTCCCTCCGATGTCTGCCTCTTTGTCTCTCTTTTAAATGGATAGACTTCTTTTTAGCGGAGTTAAGAGTTTACAGGAAAATTCATCGGGCAGGACAGTACTCCCATACATTCCCCACCTCCTCCCAGATCCCTGGGTGGTGACATGGTTTATGTTCCACTATTGATTGAGAAGTTGGTTGGCCATTCACACCCACTTGGTGGCACTTCAGGAGGAAGATAGCAGCCAATAAAATCCTGTGGAAGATAGCAGCCAATAAAATCCTGTGGAGGAGTTCTACTCTCTCACATGGGGTAGCCAACAAGTTTGATTTTGTGTGTGCGAGGGTGGGTGGGGGAGGTGTTTGCCCTTTCTACTCATGGTTTCTCCAATTATTAACATCCTGGTATAGAATACTTGTTACCATTGCTGAACTAGTATTAATGTGTTATTAGTCATTTTAATCCATAATGTATCCAAGAGTTCACTTACACAAGTTGACAAATATATAATATTGTGTATCCATCCCTACAAGATCTTACTCCATTCTTACTCCTTTCCCCCCATTCTCTCGTAAACTCACTCCTATCAGGCAGTTGTCCCTCCATGCCATTGAACTTGGTCTTATCCACGTGGCTAGTGTCTGCCATACTGCGAATTCTAAAAGCTGTTCTCAATTCGCCTCAGACTACAGCACAGATGACTGACTCCCTGGCAGCACACTTTTTGTATGTGACTTCCAAGACACCTTTCTCTCAGACCTTGTGTTAGGCTGGGTTGGCTAGAGAAACAATTCCAGTGACACTCATATATGTATAAGAAAGAGCTTTATAACAAGAATTAATTATATATCAAGAAAGCATCCCAGTCCAGTCCAACTCAGGCCCATAAGTCTGATACTAGTCCATAACTCCCAATTCAGACTTATGCAGCCATGTGCAACGATGCAGCGTACAGGCATATCAAAGGCTGGTAGGTGCAGAGTCTTGTGGATCCAAGATTGATGGAAACATGGCAGGGCCTCTGTCAGCAGGAAGGTGAGGAGGGGAAAGGAGATTCTCTTTATGAGAGGGCCACCCTCCAAGGGGACACCACCCCATAATCTTAGCTTCCACTCT